CTGACCTGAAGAAGGGAGGTTTATTCTCGAAAGCTTGTCTTTTATATATTTTGTTAGTCCAATAAGAAAGGTATCATTGCACACTGCAATACTGCGTTTCTGTTTTGTTTTTTTACTGGACTAATGCGGCTTACCCATTCATATTGCAATATATATATATACCCTGTTTCCCCGAAAATAAGACCTACCCCGAAAATAAGACCTAGTTGTGACCTTTCCCAGGGCCGGTGGTGGCAGAAGGGGAAACTTGAAGAGCCGTGGGAGAGAATCGGCGATGCCAGCGCTAGAGGAAGCGAGGCGGCAGCGGAGGGAGCAGAGCCGCATAAGCCGCATGCCTCCTCTATAGCGCCGGCTCCTGTCACAGGCGGAGTGATACCAAATGCACTCCGCCTGTGAGGAATTGATAGTGAAAGCATGCTTTCCTCATTCTGGCCAGCGATTGGTTACCAAATTGCTCTTGGAAAGGTACGACGCACCCCTGATTGCCCTGATCAACCTATTCTTACCTTTGCCATTTTGGATTATTTAATTTAGATTTGCATTCATTTTGGATTGTTGTACATAAAAAAAAAAAAAAAAAAAAAAGACCTACCCCGAAAATAAGACCTAGTGTGTTTTTTTGAGCCAAAAAAAATATAAGACAGTGTCTTATTTTCGGGGAAACACGGTATATACACACAGACACATACATATTTATTTAAAGTTTCCCGGTGTGCCGGTGACATATCTTTTACTATGTATATGAGCGGTGCCATCTGCTTGTTGCTGCAGCACCCATTGGAATAGTACAAGGGACTTGCCAGTCAGCTGTGTAATGGGATTCATCTAATACATCCTAATACATCCTCTGTGCCGATGCCGAGTATTTGGGTGAGTACTATTACTCAACCAAATGCTCCCAATACCGGAATTTCCTGTATCAGGAAGCTGGGCAGCAAATCATTACCCTCCCCCCAGCTTCCCGATTGGCCAGGAAGCCGGCTCCATGCTCCCTTGTCACCAGGGAGCATAGAGGTGGCTACCACCGCCAAACAGAAAGCTGGGGGGAGGGTAATGATTTGCCCCCTGGCTTCCTTTTCAGCCGGGAAGTCGGCTCTGTGCTCCCTGGTCACTTGGTGAAGAGGGAGCGCGGAGTCGGCTTCCCCGGCCAATCAGGAAGCCGGGTGGCATGTAGTGACGAGACGCCCCGCATCCTGATTGGTGCGGAAGCTGGCCAATCAGGAAGCCAGACGCTGAGCCATTGCCCTGCCCCCGTGATTAGGCAGGAAGCCAGCTCCGTTCTTCCTCCTCACCTGGTAACGAAGGAGAATGGAGGCGGCTTCCCAGCTAATCAGGAATCCGGGCGGCGAGTCATTACACGCCACCCAGCTTCCTTAAAGGAGAACTATGGAGGCAACTGGCCGATACCGGCAAACAAATATCGGTACTCATACTCAATACCGGTGAACCGGTATCAGTGCATCCCTAATCCTAACCCTTCACTACTCCATCCAAAAGGGGGGGAAAAAAACGTTTAGCTTTGGAAATGCTGTACAGCAGGATGCCTGTGCTCATCCCCCGCGCTCTCTCATTTTTCTGTGAAATGAATGACACATCATTGGGCTTTAATTAAATCCGCCATCAGCGGAGAGGACACCGCGTGCCTCACAGATTCCGGCGCTGAAACAAACAATCCCACAATTTGGCTGCACTGTATCCTGCTGGAGCAGATTGTTATGTGAAATCGGACGGAGTGACTGACATTGCGCGTATTATTTTATCACTCAGCGACAACACACAGGCAACTCCGAACGCAAAGGAATTCTGGGTGAACATGCCAAACCTGATGACCCATCTGAAGAAGGTGTCGGAGCAGAAGCCGCAAGCCACGTATTACAATGTAGACATGCTGAAATATCAGGTAACGGCCTCGGTGACGGAATACATGTCATGCCCGTCCCTGAAAAACCGGATGAGAATCTCGCAGAGTGTCGGTTGTAAGATATCAGCATTTGTCTCTTCTTGTCTTCCCAGGTATCCTCCCAGGGCCTTCAGTCCACTCCTCTGAACCTTGCCGTAAACTGGAGGTGTGACCCCACCAGCACAGACCTCCGAATAGATTACAAGTACAACCCTGAGGCCATGACCACTCCCGTAGCGTTGAACAATGTCCAGTTCATTATCCCGATAGATGGTGGAGTAACGAAGCCGCAGGCTGTACTGCCCCCCGCTGTCTGGTAAGTGACACTACGTGGTTATGTGTAAAGAAACACTGCTGCCAGACCATTCATTTCATGAGAATTCTACGTATTACCTTGCGTGGACATCCAAAAACCCCTAAAGCCGGCCACACACCTCTAGACTATATGCAGATTGTCTATGGTCACATGGAAAAAGTGCAGCAGATTCCTCCATCTACGCTACACTGTGTGGATGGGGGAATCTCCCGCTGGGCCAAGTTTCAGTATCTTGCTAGTCGGCCCTGCTGGCTCTCAGAACACAGCCGGCATCCAATCAGATTGTTCAGGTATATTGAGATCCGCCGACATGACGACCGCGCTTCCATGAATCATGGTATCCATTCTCTTTATAGACTAGGGGTAGGCAACGTCGGCACTCCAGCTGTGGTGAAACTACAAATTCCATCATTCCTTTGCCTCTGGCTGTCAATGCCTCATGTGTTTTGTAGTTTCATTACAGCTGAAGTGCCGAGGTTGCCTACCCTGGAGTTATGTAGTGAGGGGAGGGGTGGAGGAGCTGTGCCAACACAGACAGTAATTAGACAAATAGAGAAACCGGCTATGATGTGCCAGAGGGAACTGGAGTAGTCACATTTTTAGCAAGTTGTGAAGCACATGGCAAGGAAAAAAAATCATTTATAGAAAGTAAAACATTCTGCAAGAAAGCATTTGAACGGCTTCAGCTCCATTTACTTAATAACCTCTGCACACTGCAAGTGTCTTCTTACACGAGCGGCTACCGCATAATACAAATCAATGACTAATGGTCTTTTTGGTAATGTCAGGGGGGGGGGAAATGGCAGCAAGGGGAGCAGATCTGGAGTGTTATAAAGATAGCTATAATATAAACACTTTGCTGGACATAGCAGAGATGTGGGAGGGGCCTAGCAGGCCCCACCCACTACAGGGGCGGAGACCAGACCAGTCTCCCTGCACAAAGAGAGAGAGCAGCAGTGAGCAGTCTTTATTACAGGAGGAAGGGGCGGAGACAAGACCAGTCACCCTGCACAAGGTGAGAGAGCAGCAGTGAGCGGTCTTTATTACAGGAGGGGGCGGAGACAAGACCAGTCACCCTGCACAAGGTGAGAGAGCAGCAGTGAGCGGTCTTTATTACAGGAAGCTCCAAGTCTCACACTGGATTACTAAGGGTCAGGGAAGAATACACATAGATCTCATATTTACATTCATTTAGCATGGAGTTTAGCTGTACATAGCGTAGGTTGTGTAGAACGTGTCTCCTCTATCATCAGTTGATTTTTTGCTTGTTTTGTCCATTCCAGGAGTGTTGAACAACAGAGGATATTATGGAAAATTCCTGATATTTCTCAGAAATCTGAAAATGGAGGTAAATGACGTGTTTCTCCAGCGCTCCGGCCAGGATAGATGTGTATTAAACGTTTGCATTGTATACATCGGGTAATTGTATCTGTTACATTGAAGTATATCTGTAGTCTCGGTTTAAGTTGAGCTGGACCCGGCGCATCGCACCGTTGGCTTTTTTTTTTTTTTCTTTACAACTTTATTGAAATGTCACTCGTGACATTTCATTAAGTTCCACCCGCACAGCGCGGTGAGCTGCCGTTCTTCCACATGGCGCTGCACTGAAAAACAGTTCTACGCGGCGTACTTTCCTTTTTTGAGCGCACATCACCGCGTCATGTTGGGGTGAACTGAGCTGATTGAAAACAAAGTAGATTGCCTTGTCTGTGCAGCCTGTCCGGCCAGCACGGCCCCAATCCCTCTGGTGTGAACGGGGGCCCTAATTCAAGGCGTGCATGAGATGGCACACTCAGCACGAGTGATGGCGAGGAGAGATTGGCGCCGTGAATCCCAAATCTGCTGGAAGTTTAATGGACAATTTATATTACAGATCTTCTCATATGGAACAGTTTGTTTTACCACAGAGACCCATTGTGCTAGCATAGGAAGGAGGGTCTTCCATTTGAGGACAATTACCTTTCATACAAGTTTACAGGTGGATCTGACCTGCATTGGAGCCGCATTGAGAGAGTTTAGCATTCCTATAGACCCAGATGGGAATGCCAAACCCCCTTGAAGTGAAGAGTCCGGCAACTCAGGCCCTAATAGTCATTCCCCCACAGCATCAGCAAGTCGGGCTTCAGTCCTTGTAGACACAGCTTAAAGCAGAACTCTGTCCAAATCAAATCTTAAAGGAGAACTATGAGGTGAGTGCTTTTCACTCACCTCATAGTTCTAGCCGACCTGTGACAATGAGACTGTCACAGGTCGGCTCAGTAGATCGGGAGGTGAGCGAACACATACCGGCGTTCTCTCACCTCTCGATTCTGTCACGGCTCTCTGACAGGGGAGGGGCTGGATTCCCCCCTCCGATCCTCCAGCGCTGACTGGCGGAACGGACGGGGGAGGGGCGGGTACAGCCGGCTCTGCCTCTAGATAGGCAGAGCCAGCTGTCACTCACGCAGCTGGGCGGATCCCGGCATAATTGTCGGGATCCGCTTCAGCTGCGGCGTCTCAGTATACCGCGAGCTAGGGTGACGGGAGGACGCTAGTTTGTGTCCTGCCGTTACCCTAAGGAGAACTATGGAGGAAAGCCCTGACCCAATAGTTCTCCTTTAAGGGTAAACAAATTGCCCGTGCATGACAAAGCACAGTAAATCCCCCTTCCAGCGGCACATACTCTGCTTTACTTTGCTCCCCAACATTCATCTGGCAAGAGCAGGAGATATGAGCTAGAACCGTAACACTGTCATCCTTTATGTAAATGCAGCTTTTGTATTGTGAGATTAAAATATAATGAAGAAGTCTCTCCGGAACCTTTCTCAGTCCTCAGGCCGTTCTGGGAACACTTCCGTCATCTTTTGTTTTTCCCTCTTGCAGGGGTCGGCTCGCTGCTTGCACGATTCCAGCTATCAGAAGGCCCGAGTAAACCAGCTCCATTAGCCCTGCAGTTCACTAGTGAAGGGTCAACGTTGTCCGGCTGCGACATCGAGCTGGTTGGAGGAGGATATCGCTTCTCACTTATTAAGAAGAGGTTTGCAGCAGGTATGGAAGTGTGTGGGATTGTGGGGGGGGGAGGGGTTTGTAAGCCTGCAGTCCATTTGTATAAAAATCTGTATTTATTGGATTCTCAGATGGATCTGAACATGAGGCAGCACACGGCGCTAGATGTACTAGACTGGACACGGCGCTAGATGTACTAGACTGGACACGGCGCTAGATGTACTAGACGGCGCTAGATGTACTAGACGGCGCTAGATGTACTAGACTGGACACGGCGCTAGATGTACTAGACTGGACTGTACATCTGTGTCCAGTCTAGTACATCTAGCACCCCATAGTGAGGGGGATTTATCAAAACTGGAGCAGAGGAAATCTGAAGAGAGAAGCTGATTGGTTGCCCGGGGGAACTGCTCCAGATTTTCTCTGCTCCAGTTTTGATAAATTCCCCCCAATGAGTTTCAAAATATCAGTTTTACATAAAATGACTTTTGTAGAGAAGTTGTTTTTTTGGGGGGTATTTGAGAACTTTTTGCATGTACACATTTGTAAAAACCTTCCTCAGCCCCCACGGCTGCCCCCTGATTTGATAGATCTGGCTTCCTCCTCCAGCAAGTGCTCACTTACCTTGTCCAGTGGCTGTGGCTCCCTGCTACGGCTTCTGCCCAACCAGTAAAAATCTAGCGCTCGGCTAATGTCCCATAGACTTGAATGGGACATACTTGTAGTCTGTGGGAGGCAAGCAGGCACACCTTGCTTAATGTTTCAGTCTTGCTTAACTACCTATTGAGTTACTGACCCAGAACCGGTGTACAAGACAGTTGGTTGAGGACTGCCGTCCTGCATACTTCCAGGTCAGTGACCCGCTAAGAAGGTGAAGAAGATGACAGCCATGGGGTCTTCAAATACAAGCTGGCAGTGAAAGCTACCCTATACCTATCCTGACTGGTGGCAATAAGCAACGCCTTTCGCTTCCCCCAGTTTTCATCAATCAGCCCGTGTGTTTTATTACACTGTATTGTACATACATGTGTTTTATTACACTGTATTATACATACATGTGTTTTATTACACTGTATTATACACGGGTTCATGCTTACAAAAAGTTGAGATTTTTTAAAAAACAATGTAGCCCTGGCTGCAGTTCTGCCCTCTGTAGTACCTCTTTGCTGCCACTAGGTGTCCTCTGTCTTTCAGCCTGAGTGACACCCAGAGACATATGACCAAGGACATACTGCGAGTGCATGGCATTGTGGATCTGCCACCTAAGGGGGTGTCACCGCAGTACCATGTACCCGCAGTGTAAAGATACAAAGCGCGGCCCTGACATCTCCATGTCGGTGCCACTCTCTTTATCATTGAGAAATGCTCAAGCCAGGAATAGTTATGAAGAGAAAGGGGGACCTCTGCTCATCACGTGACCCTCCGAAAGACATCTGAAAAAAGGAAGTATTATAAACCGCATAAAAGTCACACAGGGGGTGCCTATAGGGGAAAAGGGGTCCTCTGGGGTGGGGAGGGAGCCTAGAGTTAACCTTTAAGAAATGATCAGTTCCATAAGAGTCACCTTTTAGTTTCCTCATCACTTCTTTTTTACCCAACATCACCAAAATCTTTTGTCTCTTGAAGGAAAGTACTTGGCTGACGTCTAGTCGAAGACCGCCCACAAGGAGCAACAATCCCCCCCACCCCCCGATCCGGTTTTAAATCAAAGCTAAAGGAACATGAACTCATATTGGGAAACCTGGGGAACTTCTGCCGGAGGGCTCCGTCCGTTACAGGCCGAGCACTTTTTCCTCAGAGTCCTTTGTGTTGCCCCGCCCTGCAGTATTTATTTCTAGGTGTAATATTGTTGATGGTTTTAAACTTGTAATTATCGTATTTGTAAATTGTATTTAATTCCGTAAGGCTGTATTTTGGCAGTTAGACTCTCGTATCAGCATTTTACCATGGATTCAATGGGTGTAATTTAAACGGTTATATAAAAAAAAAAAACATTTAGTAGTACTGTTGAATGGCACACTGCTTATGGAGATAGATTTTTTTTTTTCTTTGTGTATATATAGAACTAAATCTATAATATCGGTAGTCGTTATAGGGGTGCCTCCTTTGCATCCTTGTCTATGCACATGACGGCGATCTCCAAACCGGCGAAATGTTTGGACGTGACATTTGCATGACACTAGAGCGGCAACAGGAAGCAGAAAAAAAAAAATCAAGCATCGAAGCAAAGGTGTGTGAACAAACCAATAAAGCTTTCAGATACAAAAAAAAAATGGGCCAGTATAGCAATTGTGTTTTATGAACTCAAATCTGTATGAATCATACCAGCAGCAATGCATTGTGGGTCATAAGGAGATCCAACAAGAGCCCCAGACAATGGAGGCATCTATGAGGGGGGGGGGGGGGGGGGGAAAC